TAAAATGATCTTATCATTTAATAATGTTGATATTGTTTTCAGCTCCAAGAATATTGTACTATTAATTACAGTCAAGAACTTGACCCTAATCTCTTACCACAGACGTGACAGACGACGGTTGGGTACAAAAAGAAAACTCTCGTTTGATTACGTCATCCCTGCATTAGAAGATATTAAAGTGAAAACTTAAAAAAGTCAAATTTTGTATTGCAAGATCACTGATTTTTCTTTTTACCTAAAATGTACAATAAATCCTCTAATAATCAATACTGAAATAAAACACTGAGATTTCAATACCTCTATAAAATGTACTTAAAGATTTTTTTCTTTTTAAAGATGAAGAGTTTGGATTGCACTTTCGTAACCTAACATTCTGTGAAGTTTGTATGTAAGATTAATTCTTTGTATGTATGTATGATAGGTCCTACAGCAGTTCTGGAACTAGCAGAACCAGACTTGACAGGGGGCTCGGAGTGGTCCGAGAGGTGTCTTCATCTATATGGAGTAGCCCCTACCTAGGGGAGGTAGCTAAAACGCCCACAGCAGGTCATGCAGACATTATGGGGGTCTAAGAATAGGTTTTCTAGGTCGCTGAACCCGAATCTAGCAGCGACGTTTGTGTTCTTAGCCACCTAGAGCACCGTGTTTGATAGTGTGTTTGTATCCCCAATCATAAGTTATCAAGACCAAACTTGGCACACACAATCAGGTACCACGGGGAGTTGTCTTTACAGGTTTTTTTCTACGGGTACAGCCTCCTTGGGGTAGCTATTGAAGAAACTGGGGTAATGGAGGAGGTTTATCAATATACTGCGGCCTCTGTGAACCATGCTAGTATCAGTTATCTGATCACTAAGTGTACATTAGTGCTGTTACCTTAGCACCAGGTGTGTTTTAATACCCAATGTATTACCACCTGGTATATTTTAGTACCTGTTTTCTAACGAAGGCTATGTATTTTAGTGCCTGTTGTTTCACCACCAGCTATATATATATATATATATATATAACCTGTTACCTTACCACCACGTGCATTTTAGGACCTGTTAACTTACTACCAGGTGTATTATAGTACCTGTTGGCTTACTACCGGATGTGTTTTAATGCCTGTTTTCTTACTACTAGGTGTATGTTAGTACCTGTGGTCTTACCACCAGGTGTATTATAATATCAGTTGTATTACCAGTTAGTGTATTTTAGTACTTGTCTTACCACCAGATGCATGCTAACTTCATGTAAAGAAACAGAAACAGAGAATTCAGTGGGCTTGGGTTTGTTAAACACAAAGCTACACAATGAGCTATCTGAGCTCTGCCCATTACAGGTATCGAAACTCGGTTTTTAGCGTCGTAAGCCTGCAAACTCGAGCCACTGGGGGACGAAGCAGAATACTTAACGAAGTTAAGATTCCCTTTTTAAGACGCTCAGTTAGTTCTAGGCTCAAGTAAGTTACAGTAACGTGGTTATGTTATAGTTTTGTCCTTTAAAATATTGTTCATAAAATCGTTTTAATTTAATGTTGATCAAAAATTCAAACCTTGAAACATTAATTAACTGAAGTACTCATAATGAAAGCAAATTCATAATGCGGTTAAATATTTATTTATATTTTGTGTACACCTAGTGGTAAAACAACAGGTATGAAAATACACCTGGTGGTAAGATAATAGGTACTAGCATACACCAGATTGATAAGATAATAGGTACTAGCATACACCTGGTGGTAAGATAATAGGTACTAGCATACACCTGGTGGTAAGATAATAGGTACTAGCATACACCAGATTGATAAGATAATAGGTACCTTAGATACCTGTACGTAATTCATATAGTTGTAAAAGTAAAAAATAAACATTTCACTCATACGTTTACCCTGTAATTTGAAAGCAACAGTAGTATTCCATATTCTATAGACGTAAGTTAGGAAGTCTAGGCTTCAATAAAAACTTTACTGTTCTGATACTGCCCGGCATGGCCAGGTGGTTAGGGAGCTCGACTCGTAATCTGCGGGTCGCGGATTCGAGTCCCCGTGGGCACGTTATAATGTTACGGTCAATCCCACTATTCGTTGGTAAACGAGTAGCCCAAGAGTTGGCGGTGGGTGGTGATGACTAGCTGCCCTCCCTCTAGTCTTTCACTGCTAAATTAGGGACGGCTAGCGCAGATAACGCTCGTGTAGCTTTGCGCGAAATTCAAAAACAAACAAACAATACTGTTATGATCTAAACTTAACCATTAGAAATACAAACTTTTAGACTTGGTTTGATTAATCCATCGCTACTTTCATGAAACAAACAAGATGTGGAGTCTTTACATCTATAACCTGTCACTTTCTGTCCATTGGTGGGGATATAGAGATTCCTGCTTCCCCGTACACACATAAAAGAGACAAAGTAGTCATGGAGGCATTTTCTGATCTAAATGGCGCGAGTAAAGTGTAGAAGACAGTAGGGTGTGATGCCTATCACAATTTATTTCCCCTCTGTTGTTCTCTTATGGCAAATATTTTTTTCAGTTGTATTATTTTAACACGGACCAAGAGCGGCAAAGTAACTTATTGTTGTAATAATATATTTATAATACATTCATAAGCTCTGCGTTACGTAACAACTTATTTGGATATTGGATAATATTGGTATAACCTGCCAAGTAAAGTGATATTTTTCAACAGCCTGAAGTTGGTTGTAAAATACATTACTGATACTATAAATTCCATCAAATTGGCTGGAAACAGGTAAAATATCACTTGCTTAAACACTTCTTCATTGTCAATCAACTTATTTCTATACAACAGAATTTTCGTCCACTTCAGTAACACCGCGATAATGTGACCACACTTTTTACTCTGTTAATCTTTCACGTTATTTTTATTTCTCTAAATGAACAACGCTTGTTGTTTCTGAATTTTTTGCCTGTCTTTGTGTTTAATGTTGAAAACTTACTAACTTAGCTAAGTCCTATTGCAACTCTGTTGAGACACAAGGGTAAGAGGAGAACACACTTAGCAAGGCCGACTTAGCTGTTTGTTGGTAGCGAGAGTATAGATTTAATACTACGATCGTTTGTTTGTTTGTTTGTTTTTGAATTTCGCGTAAAGCTACAAGAAGGCTATCTGCGCTAGCCGTCCCTAATTTAGCAGTGTAAGACCAGAGGGAAGGCAGCTAGTCATCACCACCCACCGCCAACTCTTGGGCTACTCTCTTACCAACGAATAGTGGGATTGACCGTCACATTATAACGCCCCCACGGCTGAAAGGGCGAGCATGTTTGGTGTGACGGGGATTCGAACCCGCGATCCTCAGATTGCAAGTCGAGCGCCCTAACCACCTGGCCATGCCGGGCCTACTACGATCGTAGACTGAATAAATCACACCAAAAAAAAATATGACACAGAAACGGGTGTAATGAAAACACCTCCTGTCCTAGCAGATCTGATGTTACAGAAATAATGTTTGACACTGTTTTGCTCGGTACGTTTAATTACGATAAAGAATTACTGAAACACAAATAATAACTAAATGGTCAAAATATTATTAGTTTCCGCACATCAAAAAAAAAGAAAAAATTAATTCCTATTATTATTTCACTAATAATTATATGTGTTTACATTTTTTCAGTTGCATTATGCTTCAGTGAATTTGATACGTAATGTATAACACTTAACACTTTATGAGCAGAAAATCCATAAGTAAACAAGCAGAATATGGGGAATTCCTTCAAAGAAGCTAGAGAATGCTTGTAATGACGTCTCGAGAACGCTGCTGTGCTTGAATAACGAGCTTCGATTTTACCTACATAGATCTAGGCTTTGAAATCACCCTCTAAATCATTCTTCTGTAAAGCATTCCTGAATTATGAACAAACACCAAACCTTCGAAAAGATATAAGCAATAGAACCGTCTGTACTCTTGCACACATTTCTTTATTTTTATGAAGGCTGACATTCATACAAAAGTTGGTTGATAGACACGCAAGTAATTTAAAGATACTTTGTTATCTACTTGGAAAAATTAGGACATACTGAACTAGGGTTACCTTGTATGAGTTTTACTGTGTGTACTAACTCAGTCCCACTCAGAACATTTACCTTTCTTTAAACTGTTTTACTGACTGTATATATGAACATTTACTTTTAAATGTTTATATGCCCGAGGTTACCTCTATTGATTTATTGGACCCCCATTGGCACAGCGGTATGTCTGCGGAGTTACAACGCTAGAATTCGGGTTTCGATACCCTTGGTGGGCAGAGCATAGATAGCCCATTGTGTAGCTTTGTGCTTAATTATAGGTAAACAATAAATAATTAATTTATAGCATGAACGATAATAAATGAGTATAGATTAGATTTGCCAGGTAACTTTTATTTATATTATAAGGTACATTTGAAATATTTTCTGTGGTTTCTTTGTTTATTGAATATTGCGTAAAGCCACTCGAAGGCTATCTGCGCTGGCCACCTCTGATTTAAAAGTGGTAAGTTGGAGGAAGAGCAGCTAGCGAACATCTCTCACCACCAACTGTTAGGCTACCCTTTATCGATAAAAAATGGGATTGACAGTAAATTTATAACGTCCCTATGGTTGAAAGAGCGAGCAGATTGTGCGCTGAACACTGTGATTACCAGATCATATCAGATCTAGGTTGTAAAGGAAGGAAAATATTCGTAATAAACTTCTGACAAAAATCAGAAAAGTTGGATATAGAAAATGAACCTACTTCATTAACAAGACTCCTCCTCCCCCAATCCTCATACCCATAAACACATACAGTCTTTTGAGAATAAGTAATAGTTATTTGAGCTAGCTACTGAAATAATTCTGGTATAAACCTTAACTGTTTTAAGGTATGATCGTTAAACGATAATTTTAACACGTTTAATTAATTGGAAAAGATATATATATTAGCAATCTTTTATATCTATCGTATAGTTTACAGCTTAAAATGTTTTATTTTCCTATGTTGTTTAACTTTCATGACGTCTTGAATGACATAACTTAGGTGGCCTGGTTAAGGGTTGAGAGTAAGACCATATTGACCATCCATCAGAACGTGATCACGAGAAACTACAGGGTCAGCCTGAGCCATAATGATCATAGAAACTGGGTTCTACACATTCGCGAAGTTCAGGAGTCCGACAGAGGGGGCTATATGTGTCAGATTAACACCGTTCCCATGAAGAGTCAGGTTGGCTTTCTGGATGTAGTTGGTAAGTTTTTATAACATAAAACGAGTTCTAGGAACGTTAGTTACTTTAGGCTTAAGTAGATTCTTTGAGACATATATTGTGATATCAACATAATATTGTCTTATTTTCAACTTGAAAAAAGATAATTAAAAACGTCTCGTTGTCCTTTATTTAGTCTTTACTTGTGTATAAATTAAAATATTCTCGTTCTAAACGAGACTAGGTAAGTTTGAAATATCGTCTAACGGTCGTTGGATATATTTCTTTAATACATCTGTGTGAGAACACAGAAAGGTGAAAACTGGGAAAAAAAGGTTCAATATTATGAAGCACCTGTTATGAAATTAATATGATAAGTTAAGTTGTCAAACTGTAAAATCATAGCAAGTTTTGGGTCATTTGTATAGATAAATTATGATGGCCTTACTCTTGCTCTGGTTCATCTGTGGAGGTCTAAATTATGACAGCCTTACTTTCTCTTTGGTTTAAATAGGTTACATTTTTCAATTATAAGAAGTGAACATTATACAAAATATCAAATTAAGCTGACAACCAAGAGCTTACCTAAGATATATTTATAGAAAATTGAACCTTTTCCAACACATAGGAACGTAAAGAAAACATCAAGTTAAAAGTCTAGACTTTTACGAGTTGCAGAGATATTAAAGAAAAATTTTGAGGTGGGAATTACTTTTGTGTTGAAAACGTATCTGATAGTTTGAGCAGACACTCACTTTTTGTGCGAGAGTAAGGCCATAATAATTTAGACCTCCACAAATGAACCAGAGCAAGAGTAGGGCCATCATAATTTATCTTTACAAATGACCCAAAACGAGAGTAAGGCCATAATAATTTAGACCTCCACAAATGAACCAGAACAAGAGTAAGGCCATCATAATTTATCTCTACAAATGACCCAAAACGAGAGTAAGGCCATAATAATTTAGACCTCCACAAATGAACCAGAGCGAGAGTAAGGCCATCATAATTTATCTCTACAAATGACCCAAAACGAGAGTAAGGCCATAATAATTTAGACCTCCACAAATGAACCAGAGCGAGAGTAAGGCCATAATAATTTAAACTTCCAAAGACGTAATGTGTGACCTCCTAAACCATTAAATAAAAAGCAAAGCCACGTAAGTTAAGAATCGAATTTCGTGTTTTGTGCGGTTTTAAACGAGCTGAATGTTGAATTATGGTTTGTAAAATACAACGCTAAGATTACTAAAACATAGAAAAATTTGTAAATAGATATTTTTGTCATTTTCTCTTTATCGTTAAAACATGAACCAATCAAAATCTATACGTAACAAAAGCGTCTTGAATTTCAATCAACACCACAAATTCCTATATTATACCTCCTCATTTTTTAATGTTTAAAATCACTAATACGTTGAATGTCGTGTAACCTTAATTGAATATTATCAACTGAAAAAATATCTAAGTTTCAAAAGTAATTTACAAAACACATTTATTTGAGAAAGAAAACTTCTGTCACTCCAAATTTCTGACCTTTATCAACGATGAAAAGAAACATTAATCCGGTGAGTAGAAAAACTATTAATTATATTAGTGTTCCACGTAACACATTTAGTCTTGTTTTGTATAAAATGTTTATTTTGATTATATAAGTTTAATCACAGTAAAACTACATCGACGTAAAATTAGGTGTGTGTGGTCTGTTCAGTCATACCAAAAACATTTAATCTATTTTTTTTCTATTGTGAGTATTTTTTGTTTTCGCAAAAGCTGTCCTCCTTGAGCCGGTTAAGCCTTTTGTAATATCAAATTATTTCTAGATTAATGTTGTAGACGAATTCGCCTCGTTTTCTATCTTCTGGAACATGACCGTGTAATCCTTTATCGAATAATTCCACCTTTAATTCTTAATGATTTCAGCCATGAACGTAAGCCAAATCCTATCAAACATCGACTAAGTCCAACTTTCTCTTACTCTTCAGTACCTCCGGAGATTCTTGGAGCCGAGAGTAGTTCTGATGTTCTGGTGCGTGAGGGCTTTAACGTAACACTCACTTGCAGAACAAAGGGGTACCCTACCCCTAAAATCACTTGGAGGCGCGAAGATGGCGAGCCTCTGGCCGTTGGAAACTGGCAGAACAACATGATTCAAGGTAACTAACTATCTAAATGAGCTTTATACTTAGAAACCAAAAGCAATGTAACAGCCAATCAAGGAATGCATTAGGCCTTTACGTCACAGATGATATTTTTAATTTTATCTTTGGAGAAATAGAATAGCAATCTGTAATATATATATATATATAGCAATAGAACGATCTCAAACAGTAAAACAGAGAATGTATATCCGAAGTGTTAGTTTTATAATTAGAAATGCGGCTTTTATGATGTATGATCAAAGTATATAACTGTCAAATACAGCAAAAAATAAGCTTTTTGTATGGGGTTAACAAAATGTGATTAAGTATGAGGTATATAAACTTTCACTTAGGACTGAAAACGTTTAATTAATTATCCTCATCAATACCTCTCAAAAACATATTGACACATGTCTACCATATTATACAACCTAACTGTTGAAAGAGAACACATGTCTACCATATTATACAACCTAACTGTTTAAAGAGGCGTGTAAACATATTGACACATGTCTACCATATTATACAACCTAACTGTTTAAAGAGGCGTGTAGACATATTGACACATGTCTACCATATTATACA